AAATTTAATTTATTTAAAATTCTTTCTTTAAATTTGTTGGATTCAAGTGTTCTCGTTTTATTTCAATTTCACTTTTACCTTTCGTATTATTTTAATTGTTTTATTTGTGATTATTGACTTTAATTTCAATTTCTCGTTTTTATTTATTTTTTCACTTTATTCTCGTTGGCTTTTTATTTCGTTTTTGAGGAAAATCAGTTTTAGGCGAAATTTATTTTTAAAGGTATGATGGTTTTATGCCATCATAGCGGAAAATTTGGACGTATTGGCGGTAACAATACAAAAGTCACCGGCGGAAAAAAACGGCCTGGTCGGAGAACAGGCAAAAAAAAAAAAAAAAAGAAAAAGAGGACATTTCCATGACGAATTCAGTATTAAATATAAAAATTCATCCAATAAAACTCAGATTTTAACCATTCCGGTTTATAAAAGTATCCAGTGAATGTAAGGATAATTAAAATGCTGTAATTTGGCCCATTGGCGGTCCTTTTGGCATAGATGTTCTAACACTTAATACTCGTCGGTCCATTTTATGGCGTTAAGCTATTCCGGTTGAGGTGTTTACTCAGTTCTTGCTACATTTGAAAGAGTATTCCCTAACATCTGTTGGTAGATTGCTACCGGTCCGCTGGTTTTATTCTCCCCTGTTTGTTGAGCTTAAACAAAAGCCGCGTCCGATGGTTAACCATCCTAGAAGAAGATGATAGACAAAACTGGGGAATCTCGATAAGAAATTTAGTATGGAGCAGGAACGAAAAAAAAAAACTATCTTTCTCAAAAACAACAGATTCACGACTCGAATTTGTAAAACTTTTTATAAAAGAAAAGAATTTAGAAAAGAGATACGGGATTGCAGAAAAGAAAATAAAAACACCCATACACTGGATCAGAGACACAGAGAGAATGTGATTATCTTGTTAAATCGTCTCAGAACGATATATGACTTTGCGACGGAGGGATAAAATTTTTGTTCAAATGCTTAATTATAGCGGCGTTCCTCCTCCCAACGCTCGCCTGGGGCCAATTCTCCAAGAATTTTCTCCGTCTGTCTTTTTTCAGCATAACAACTGCTTTATATAGATAAACCCGGCTGGTTTTTTGGCAACTGAAGAGGACGTCCATATATTCGCACGCGATTATCATGGGTTCTGGCGACTTGCAACCAAAATCATTTCAATTTGAAAGTTCCTTTTATCCTTTATTGATTTCCGTGAAAAATTACACTGAATCTGGGTCATCAGTCGAGGCAAATGGGTACAACTTCTGCCCTAGATTACATTTCCACATCAGTAAACAAATGCCCTGATTTAATTTCATTTCAAATCTACCCAATTTAAAAAAAAAATAAAAAATAAAAAAAAATACCTGTGTGTGTTTTCCCAGACTTCGCGCATTGACCAGGAGATCCAGAAGACACTTTAATTAGGGACGTGTTCCTTGCCTCGGTTTTCGCCCTTCATCTCGCCTAGCTGAGAAGATAAAACCACGGAGGCAAACAGTTCACTTGGCATTGAAGTGGGTCGACGCTGGCAATTCTCAGGACTGGGGCGATTTTGCCCGTTTGAATGTACTTGAGGCTTTCGCTCTTTTGTCCCTATTTTGACAGTGGTGTTCAACAGGTCCATCACTACCAGATTCCCAGGGTATGATCCGCTTTTTGAAAAAGGTCAATGGTGTTGGGAGGGATCTGGTCCTTACAGGGCAATAACTTTGCTAAAACACAGAGTTAAAAGATTTTGACCAAGATCCTGATGGAGCATTTTTCAGTCAGATGTTCTTGACTTGTTGGACCCATGCAGACTGTGCTCATCTTTCCCACAATTAAAAGCAACCTGTATCTGGGCGAATATCATAGAGGGTGTAGAATAACACACGATCCGCAACATCATCACTTTAGACTGCGCGGTATTTAGACTGTTTTGGACTATCATTCCCTGGCTGTCATCCTGCAGGCCGGATTTTTCGCATAGACTTCTGCAAGTAGATTAGCCACCTGTATCGCTCCCCTAGTGCTGTGGTACAGGTGAGCGGTCATGCGCTGACTCAGTCAATCCGTCAGTGGTGTCCACTGTCGCCCTTACTTTGCGCTTTGGCGTTCATCCTCCGCCGGCTAAGTGACAGGGTGTGCAGTCCGGCCCTACGTGAAAACGCAGTTTTCCCTGGTAGAAGTCGAGCTAGGCTTTCTGCGTATGCCAATGACGTCTCCATCTTCATGTCGTGCTGCAGAAGGCGCTTAAACGGTACGAGAATGTGGCGAAGGCCAAGATTAACCTCAAGTTTTCCGGCTTGCGGTTAGGTGCCTAGAAGGGGATAGCGCTTCTTTGAGTGGTTAATGTAAGACGGAAACAGACACAAGGAAACGGAAACAGACAGACAAAGAAGAGAAAAAAGAGAAATGTGTAACAGATGAACAGGAAGGCCTAAAGGCGTGGATTAAAATTTAACAGAAGTTTTAAACAGAGAAGTTAAATAAAGGTTTAAATGAGCGAGATTCTGATAATATGAATTATTTTTCGATGCATAATTTGCTACGATTCACTGACTAAAAAAAAAAAAAAAAAAAAAAAAAATCTAAACTTAAAATCCAGAAGATGAGAGAGATGGGGGTGCCAAACTAAAAACGAAGGTTTTATGTATATATGTTTATGCACACATGTGCATGTCTGTGTATACATGAGCATGTGCATATGCAAGTATGTATGTGTGAGTAAATATAGACATGTTGTATATGTATGTGTTTTTGGGCATATAAATAGGTCATTACTAGATTAAATATTAGTTAATTTTTATGCTTGTAAAATTTGTAACCTGTAGGTGATATTACTTTGTCAAATTTTCTTGATTACACATCAGTTCTTATAAAAGAACGTTTTTAGTTTGGCACCCACCCACATCTTCTGGATTTTAAGTTTAGATCATATTGTTTTTCATTGTGCATAGTGTCACTACAAGTGTATACACACGTTTTCAGTGTGTTTTTTTTAATTTAGGTTGACAAATCAGTAGCAGATTATGCATCGAAAAATAATTCATATTTATCTGTATCACTCATTTAAACAGTTATTTTACTTTAAAAACTTAAATTTTAATCCTCACCTTCAGGCTTTCCTGTTCTGTTACACCTCTAGAGCTTAGACATTTCCCTCTTACAAACTCACTAAAATTTTATTTTTTATACCTGGAGTTATATTTTCCAATTTCTTTTTGAATTTGTAGGTCTGGATTGGATAGTGATTCCAATATATATATATATATATATATATATATATATATATATATATATATATGTGTATATATATATATGTGTGTGTGTGTCATGTTTATTACTACAGTGAATGTAATGCAAAAACTGGCAATACAAAGATTTAAATTAGGAATGGCTTATATATGACAATGAAATTAACATGTTAAAACTGTAGTAGGCTTTATGCAACAGAAGGTTGCCTCATGGGAGAGATTGAATGCTTGGCCAAGAGAAGGGGAAATGTGTAAGCAGGGAAGTGGCCAAAAATACTTGAAAATTATAGGATATATATTATATAACTCACAAAACAATATTCTGTTTAACTTGCTTTGTCAAATTTCCTTGATTACACATTGGTTCTTATAAATTAAGTTTTAAAGAGAGTTAGAAGATGAAATATGTTGACTAAGGTTTGCTTTGTTAATTTTTCTACAACAAGCACAGTGAAGTGTTTATTATAATTGACGACAAAGTTATATTTTAGTTTTGGTCTGACTAATTTGCAACAAAGCTAATTGAAGTCAAGAACAGCCACTTTGTAAAGTCTTTGTAAAGAATAAAACAAAAAAAATCATTGCAAGTTGTAAGAAATACTTCCTGACAATTTTTATTCAATATACACAACAGAAGACTGAAAATAGGAACTTTGGAATCATTACAGGATCATGCATTGGTAAAGTAATGAAGCAACAATTTCAGCAGTATGGAAATGCTAGAGTAATGAGAAGCTCTGGCTAATGTCTTGCGTTCTTGTTCTAAAGACATTTACAATCCCAAATGTATAGCTCAGGAATTTTTCTGTGGAATCCTGATTACCACCTAGAAGAGAAACAGAAACATGAAGGCATTTTTAGAAACTCAAGACAAACCATGTAATTGGAAACGTGTTTAAAAGGAAATAGAATTTTGCTAGTTAGTGCAGCATTTGATAAGTTTAAGGCATGTTCAGTAAATATGCCATTTGCATTAATCTGAATGCAGGTTACTGCATTAAATTGAGGTTTAACCTTTATACATAAAAAAAAAAAAAAAAAAAAAAAAAAACCCAACAAGGACAGTTATTCCCTTGATACCACTATTACTGTTTAAGTACAAAAAAAAGTAATGTTTATTTGTAAGATTCTAATGATATGTGAACCAAGTAAAATGCAATATTTTCCTTTTGTAGAGATTTAGAATTTTATAAATTTAAGAATTCTTTTCATTCAGAGTTGCCAAATTATCAAAATATGTAAGTCAATTATAATTATATTTACCACTTTAAATAAGTTTTTTTATTCATAATTTTATACAATATCAATTAACTGTCAAGTCTCAAGAATAAAGAACATTCTATAATTTATAATAGAAATCTACTTTCATATGTTTGGGTTTTGTTGAAATGGCATTCTCTTAAAAAGTGATTACAAAGTTGCCAAAAATGTATACATTAACAGCAGTGTCAAGGGAATAACTGCCATTTTGCAGGCACTAGACATTACCAATAATTTATACTAATATTGACATTGTATTGTAGGGGGGGGGGACACAAAACGGTTTAGTTCATAAATACTTAAGGGAAGAGAAAATTTATAAAAATTGAGAAATGCTTCATGAAATATCCAAATTATCTTCAATAAATCTTAAGTTATAAGACTAGCAAAAAGGCAGAGGGAAATCATGCCTAATGTTACTTGTACAAGGTAAATTTAATTTACCCAAGAGATTTAAAAGTTGTAATGCTTATATATATATATATATATATATTGAAGGACTATTAGAAAAAAAAGTTATACTTACCATTCTTTACTTCAGTGTACTCATGTAAACCATATTCACCTCTAAAAAAAAAAAAAAAAAAAAAAAAAAAAAATAAAAATTAGTAATATATATCACAAGAATAAAAAAAATATCAAAAACAAATATAAATAATATAATTTTATTACTTACAGTTCTCTTCCAATTCCAGACATTTTGAATCCCCCAAAAGGAGACTGTGGGAACACTGCATCATAAGCATTCACCCTAATTAAAAAAAAAAAAAAAAATTGAAAGTATTATATAAAGATTGTACTTTCAAATAAGCCATTTTAAGACCTTAATCATTGTCTATGAGGGAAAGTGGTTCAGACTTGTTTAAGACACCAATAAAATACATATTTGCATAATTTATAGTTAACTTCAGAAGACAATTTCTGAAAAGTTTATCTTCAGCAAGACCAAGTACAATATTCGTTTGTTTTTATCATAAAAAGGTTTTAGTTATTTAACTTTTGCAAGTTAAAAAAAAATTTAATATATTTCTAAAAATTGAAATTAGCTTTTATGAGTGTCAAAATGCTAGAGTAATTAACCGTTTTCAGTTATAGTCTCAGAAATAAAAAAAAAAAAAAAAAAAAAAATTAAGTCTCCAGGAAAGTTTTATAAGATATGTTTCTCTTAATAGAGTCACACCTACCAGACACTACCGGCTTCTACAGCACTAGTAAAAGTCATGGCTTTATTAATATCTTTAGTAAAAATAGCAGCACCAAGTCCATAATGTGTTGTGTTAGCACGTTCAATTACTTCCTCCATGTCATGGAATTTTATTATTTGCTGAACTGGTCCAAAGATCTTTATTTAAAAAAAAAAAAAAAAAAAAAAATCATTCCTGGTTTACAATTCAATATAATGGCACAATTCTTTTGCAATTGTTTGAGGTGGGGGGGGGAGTGAACAGTATAAGAGAACTAAGATTTGAAACTTTGCAAAAGAGAATTATAGCCATAGCATTTTTTATGCTTACGTTTTTAGACTATATTAGAAAAAGAATAACCCATGGAACAATAAGTCGTTAATGTTTTATGAATCATTACAGATTTGAATGTGTGAAAAATTTAAGATCAATTTACAAATTGAGTAGCTGTAGAAGAATGAGAAGAGTTACTTCCCTTACACAGACCTCAAGATTCACAAGCTACTATTTAATAGTGGAAGGAAACCTACTTACAATACTAAATTGGCAAGCTTACCTCCTCTTTAGCAATTCTCATGTCATCACAGACATTAGCAAATACTGTTGGTTGTATAAAATAACCTTTTTCCCCTTTTCTGACTCCACCACATATCAAGTTAGCACCTTCTTTCTGACCACTCTTGATCAAGTCAAGAATCTTATCAAGCTGGTCCTTATCAATCTACAAAGTGGTTGAACAAATTGTAACGGTTATATTTAACCGCAAGTAAAAAATACAAGATCTTATAAGAAATGTCAGTTGCTCATTTTTATTAGCATGACAAAACTAGCAGGTATTAAAAATTGTCAAAATGGTTTGGGCATTTGTTAGCAATAAGAATCTTTTGCAGCAATATCACTACTAATCTGTCATTTAAAATTGTTAATAGAAATATAAAGTTTCAGAATAGTCAAATTTTGACTTGTTTTTACAAAATAAAATGCATATATTATCAATATAAATTATGTCATGTGCATAAAAGTGAGTTTATGCATAGAGAAGCAAATCTATTTCACAAAGCCTCCATATTACAATTCAGCGTAGCTTATAACTAAATCTTAGTTTCTTTTCAATCTTTCCTGTTTCAGCTAATTCTGTTAAATAGCTTTAAGAGATGTTTCCTGCACATAGAAAGAAAAAAAGAATTACCTGAGGCCCATTTTCAGTTGATAAGTCAAAGGGATCGCCAACCTTTCTGTGTTGTGCACGTTCTGCACTCTTCTTGACAAACTCATCATAAATGGTGTCCTGTACATAAGTCCGAGAGCCAGCTACACAACACTGACCCATGTTGGTCATGACTGCTTCATGGGCTTCTTCAACAGCCATATCAACTGAATTTTAAAAAAAAAAATTTTAATGTCCAAATAATTTTAGTTTTGTGGGTTTATAAGTAAAATTTTACTTCAATCTAGTTGAAAGTCAGAGCAGATGCCAGGAAGGATGAAATGGCTAGGATACTGAATTTTAAATTAGTTCAGAACAACTTTAAGAAAGCAAAATATTCTCACTTATTAAAATAAGATGAGTTTCTAGACAAATGATTCATTACAAGATCAAAATCTAGTCTGGCAGAATATTTTGACAGTATAAAAAAAAAAAAAATACTGCGAAGTTTACAAGCAAACACAACCATTTTCCTCATTCCAAGGATCTTAAAGCATCAGGGCATAATGATTGGTGCACAATTACCACAATCATTTTCAAAAACAGACTATATAACAGCTTATGTCTGATCTTTGATAGAGATGCAATTTCAATTTTAGGAGAAAACCTGTTTTTCATGACATGCATCTTGGATTTCGATCAGGCTGTCAAGTCTTACAGATCTTTTTAACAAGTACATATTAAAAACTTAAAACATTTTCTTAGAACCATTTATAAATCAATTTGTTGGAGCCTGGAAGTATCCTAACATCATTTGATTAAATTAGAAGGCATAGTTTAAAATGACTTACTGTCAGCATCTGCAAAAATAACATTTGGACTCTTGCCACCAAGTTCCAGAGAGCATCTTTTTAGATTCGATTTTGCTGCTGCTTGCATTACAATTTGTCCAACCTAAAAGAAACATTAGGACCTTTACAAATACAAGATTATCAAGGACAAGGGAATAATTATCTGACTCACAATCTAAAATTTTAAGTCAGTTAAAGTAAATAGAATATTAGTTTTTTTAATCTTCAAATGGCTACCATGAGTCTGGCTTTGTACCAAGATTAAGTTCAATAAATAGAAATGAAGTCAAAAGCAATTTCAGAATTCTTACTACTACAGATTTTCTTCCCAAATTCAAAACCAGACATGTCAATATTTGAATTTTAAAGCAAGTTATATTCAGTTTCCCTTGATTCAGCATACAATTTTGTATTACAGTTACTTTTCATACACTGTGTGGGAGGAGTGGAGAATCTAGTATAACAAAATAGGGTTACAGACCAAATTAGAAGTATATATATATATATATATATATATATATATATATATACACACAAGACTAGATTTTGCATATTGGTTATTAGTGTATAACATTTGGTGAAAGTGGTACACTATAATATGAACTGTTTCAACATCCCCATGCAGAAATGAAGAATGTAAGGAAAACTACATTTTTAGATGAATTTCATGAAAAAAAATTAGTATCAAAATTTGCATCTTGTAAACAGCCACCTTGTTAGATGTTTTTACTATAAATATTTACCTCAGTAGATCCAGTGAAAGCTACTTTATTGATCTCTTTGTGATTAGAGATTGCAGCACCAGCTGTTGGCCCATATCCAGGTATAATGTTAACTACACCAGGTGGGAATCCAGACTAAAAAAAAAAAAAAAAAAAAAAAAAAAAAAAAAAAAACATTTTATCAATAGAAATAAGGGTCATAGAATTATATAGCACCATTAGTTTGAACAAAGTGTCCAGGCATACAAAAATTAAGTTATGAATTTTTTTTGCAAGCCACTCATTTAAAAATGACTTAAATATGAGAACACAAGATTCCCCTAGTGTGTGTGTATATATATATATATATATATATATATATATATATATATAATAAATAAATGGGAAGAAAAAATCAATACAAAATGCTATTTTTCAATGAAGTAGCACAGATTTAAAGTTTTTTTTGCATTTATTATTGTACTGATTCTAATAACTTATATGAGCCTTGATACAAGGTACTGACAGTTATGTAAAGAGTAAGAGTCATGATTTTCTTTTCAAGGAAAAGTAAAAGATGTACATTTAGAAACTCATTTTAAAGAAAAAGGTCAATTAAAACTTTCAAGAATTACATATCAGTAAAGAATTTCTGGCAAATATTGAAGATTTAAATTAAAAGCTTTAGAGAATGTAATTGTCTGGAACTTTATAGAGTTTAACAGTCTCAGTACACAAATAACTTACCTCATTAATGAGATGACCAAGATACAAGGCAGTTAGCGGAGTTTGCTCAGCAGGTTTCAGGATGCATACATTTCCACATGCTAAAGCAGGACCAATTTTCCAGACAAACATAGGAATTGGGTAGTTCCACTAAGTATTTAAGAAATTGAAAAATAGAATATAAATGGGCTGGTTTAGAAGATGATTTCATATGAAATGATTGCTTAATTATCAAAAGGCAAAAGTGTCTTATAAAAGTGGTTTGTAAGAGACCAAGTAAACAAATTGTTTCATCACAAGTAGTACTATTTTTAAATCAGTCCACATCAAATCAATAAAGACTTGGGCATAAATAAAACTTACAGGAATAATTTGGCCACACAAGCCAACTGGTTCATGACGAGTGTAACAGAAGAAATCTCCATCTGAAAGGAGAGAAATTTAAGTTAATTTTCAAAGCTAGAATTAAGATAAGCAAAACAACTGCAACTTCAAATAAGAGTTTATAAACATTAATGCCAGGTCTGTTTGGAGATCAAAGTAAAAATGATCAGACATTAAAATCTCAAGTTGTAAAATGTTAACATTACTGTTAATGGAATCTGATATCATAGGAGGATTAAAATTTCTATCGTTAGAAATTATAAGTTATTTTAGCAGTGTTACTAACCTACTCTAGTTATTTTCTGCATGAAATGTTCATGGTAAGAAGTTGAAACATTTTGCAATTTTCTACCTAAATATTGAAATTTTTGGCATTTGGCAGTCTTTGGACATGTAAATGCAGATTATATACAAGGTCCTGAAGTGCTCTCAACCTCAATAGGTGGGTGGGGAATTGTCAAGTGGATTAACTCACCAACTGGAATTGTCTTTCCTTCAATTTTGTCAGCCCAGCCAGCATAGTAACGTAGTACATTTATTGCAAAGCCAAGCTCACCATAAACTGCTTTGTATGGCTTGCCAGAGTCAAGTGTCTCTAGACTCTACAAATTAAAGATACAAAACAAATTGGAATTAAAAAAAATTTTTGGAATATTTGGACCTTAAAATAAAAAGTTAAACAGTTTAAGATATGAAAATCAGAATGGTATTTGCTATGAGTAAAAATGCAATTCTTGGCCAATACAGTAAGTATACTTTATCTAGTATGTCAACATTTAGTAACTTTGGAAGAAATCCTTCAATAAGATTAAATATGAAGTCTGTTAAACACCATTATGAACACAAATAAGAATGCCAAACAGAAATGTAGATCACTGTTTTAGTTAGAGAAAGTTATTTTATGCCTTCTTTAAACTAGGCCAGAAAAATTTTTTGGCTTTTACTTTAATTTTATGAATGAAATTAAAAGATTTGTTTCAACTACAATTATAAATGATATTAAATTTTAAGGTCAATAAATTCTCCAGAATTATTTATTCAGATCAAGTACTATAGAAACATTTATAGTTTAATGAAATTGACAATTTGATTAATAACCAAAATTGGTGTGGCATGCAGGTAATGAAATGTTTTCCATAATTCAATCCATTTTCTACAATGTTGCTAGCCTCATTTCCCTATTGCTATTTTCATGGCAGATGTTAAGAGGAACTACCTCACTTGGTTCCACCAGTCCAGACTTTCACAGCTATGACCCACCATGTCACTTACACAGTAGATTCAGCCTCAGCCTCATGTTCCATTGATAAGAATCAAATTCCACTCGGCTTCTTCCATAAAGCTGTTGTAATGTGAAAGACTTGTATTGAGGTTTCTTCTGACCATCACAATCTTGACTTCTTCAAGTCAAAGGTCAATTATCTGTCTTATATTTCCTTGTATTCAACTATATATGGCACTTTGGTCTAGTATTGTGTAAACAATAGTGTTTGCAAAGTTTCAGCTTGTATTTGTAACTGTTATAGAAGAGTCTACAATAGTATTATCTGGTTATTGGTACATAAAAGTAACTAGGATTAAGAATGATTGGTGTTAGATTAAAACCCTCTTTATAGAAATAGAACATACAAGGAATTGATTACAACAGATCTATAGTTAAAAAATATAGCTCCTGTCATCAGAAGAAATGATCAAGTTCTTATTAGCTTATAACTTACAGCTAGGTAGGTGAGGTTCTTTTCCAGCAAGTCACTGAGTTTATAGAGTAGAGTACCACGCTTGCTGGCATCCATTCGTCTCCATGGTGAACCCCTCTTGAAGGCTGCCTTGGCTGCTGCTACTGCTTTATCAACATCAGCCTGAAATTAAAGATTATATAGCTATTTAACTTGTATAGTTGGATTTAAACCTATTCAGTAAATAAAAAGCACTTGCTATTAAAATAACATTCATTTCAGTACACATTACAAGTTAGATTAATACTCACTTTATCTCCTTCCTGAACCTGACATATAGGTTCTCCAGTGCAAGGGTTGAGAGTTGAGAAAGTCTTGCCACTTTCAGAGTCAATGAAGTTGTTATTGATGAAAATCTGAAAAATTTTATTAAAGAGTTTGGTTTAAAACTACAAAGTTAAAATTTAAAGTTTTTCCATTACAGGACTGGTATGATATACTAAAGCACTTAAATATCTGAATAGTAAATAAAATTTTATAAATACAAGCTGAAAGATTTATAAGTCTAACTATTTCTGCACTTGAATCCTTGCATTTTAGCTAGGAAAGCTCTATAGCACAATCTCCATTTGTGGAATTGTATGCATATAATTTTTATATTCCAGAAATTGGAGTTTTACAAAAAACTACACTAGTAGGACAATAGTCCTTATTTTGTTGTTATCACAATGTTTTTGTTGTGCCTTCCTCATTTCTGTATAGAAATCTGGTAACCAAGAAGTTCTGAATTGAAGCCTTCATTTAATTTAAAGTGGTAAACTTATTCCACTGCTCAAGTATTGCTCACCCATTTTCAGAGTTCAATTACACACAGCCTGACCCAGTTACTGAACTTACTATCAGTATCACAAAATTCACAAACCAACAATTTAATCCACTAGTCTTGGAGCCTCAAACCTAACCCAGCCTGCTTGTTGATTAGTGCTGCAACTGCTACCTATCAAGTTTTGATTACTGCTGAAGATTTGTCATTTATCTTTATTAGCAGCTTCCATATCATTTATATGCTGTGCCTAGCCTAGCATATGTGCTGATTCTTTCAGACATTCAACTTCATTTCACAGGGGCTACTCTTTTCCCTGCATATGTGATCAACCATGCCAGATTTTGTCACATCCTTTATTACGGCTTTTCAATATTCCTCCAGCATTTTATAGGACAGCCTCTTTCACCTTTATATTCTCTGCCATGATGGCAAGGAATCAAGTGCATGCAATTCTTTGTCATGTTCTCCCCAGGTTAGGTTTTACTTGGCAAAAATTTTTCCATAAACGGGAACTGTTTCTGAATATTGTCCCAGTGTTGTAGAGACCACAGAGTTTGAGTTTTTTTTCCATTAAGCCCATCAATGTACTCTTCAGAATAAGCTATGTGGCAAACATAATAGCCGAGTACAGTTGAGAACAGAAGGAAGAAAAACTTACAATGTCCACCTTATGTGAAAAGATTCAGAAGATTTATGGTTCATACAATATAGGGACAATATCCAGAAGCAGTTCCACTCTACACTACAAAAAGAAAATGTTCCTTAAAATTGTTAAGGATGATACATTTTGGAAATAGAGCTTCATTAAGATTCTGTTTGGAATAAAAAGAAGCATTGACACCAGTTAAAACTTATAGCAGCCAACAACGATATTTGCTACCCAAATAAAATGTCAGAAATGAATGTGAATGATGATTAAAAACCTACTTCAATCTTTACATATTCAGTATCAAATTTAAGGATACTTGATCAGCCTTGCAACTGACAATTATTCTATAGATTGTCAGAAGATAGACAAGTCAAAATAATCCCCATTAATATTGCTTTATTGAAACTTAATTTAGTAAATATATGAATTCATTGTAAAAACTTAATTTCAAATAGCTAAAGTATAAGACAAGAGTACTGAAGAGAAATAAACCAAGGGCATCATAAAACAGATTTGGATCTGGTTGTCAATTACAGAGAGGAAGCTAAACTGGAAAAGGTCAAACCAGTTAGTGGGATGTACACTGGAATTAACTACATAAGTCAGAACAGGAAGCAGAAGAGGAAAATCATTTTAGTTGATAACTACAAAAGTCAAAGGCAAATTCTGCTTAGCACTACATAATTTAGAAATAAATGCATACAATTTAAGCAAGTAATGTATTAACATCTGAGAATATAAAAAGGAAAAAATTACATATATCCAAGACTGAAAGTGAGTAAAATGTAAATTAATGCCAACATAGATGGTTTAAAACTTACAAATTGTTATGACAAGAAATTCACTATTAGATTTCATTTTAACCTCATGCATAAAGATCACACATCTTGTAAAGAGTTTACTTTTTGCACATTAATTACTTTTCACTAAAGACAAACAAGATTAAAATCTTAAATATACAGAATTCAATAGCAGAAAAATTATTTTTTCAAAAGTTTCAAAACTATTAAGAGTAGCAGAGTCCAACAGATTTTAAATATACCAAGTACCACTTTATAAGTTATCTTAAAGGATTAAAAAACAAAAAGCCTTTAACAAGTTCAAAATACAAAAAACAAGATTCACTTAAGTTTAGGCCGCAAAAAGTTATTAACAATTGTTACACTATAGTCAGAGGGTTAAGGAAGAAAAAATGTTAGAGCAGACAAAAACTGGGAGGTGGAAACCAGATAAAAATGGTACAAAGACTGAAGTCCTTCAAAAATGGATTTTCAGTTTAAACTTGGCATTAAGATTAAGAAATAAAGCATTGTGCAAGTCAAGTTTTATAAATGAAAATGGAAATGTTCATGAAATAAAATTAGCATAAACCTTTTGCTTAAAATTAGATAAAGTTGCATCATTTTTAACAGACAAACTGTTAGAGTCAAGAGTGCTATAAAAATTGCATAAATGCAGAATGAAATTTATGAATCAGTCATCTTTATTCACTAAGTAGTTTTAAACTCATAACTTTATTGAAAGTTTATTATTCCAATCTTCTAAGTGAGTAGAAATTCATGAACAAGCCTGATTGTAAGTTATCAGTTACAACATCTATATGGCTTGAAGAGTTAAAGTAGGGAGAAAATTATTTAGATTAGTTCTGTGTATTCAGTGGTTTTCAGTACAAGTATTTAAAAGAATTGGAAAAAAAAAAAAAGTCAAGACGAAAGCGAATTAAGCTCCTATGTACTGTATTCCTTCAGGACGTATATGATTAGGGCTCTTCAATTTCCTTTGATCTAAAAGACTAGTTTACACTAGAGATATAAAAATTAGAAAAACAAAAAACTTACAATATAGTATTTCTGTAAATATTGAAAATTATGTAATTTTTAAAGTTTACAATGGAATTCGCAAGACCAAAACGAAAGAGCTATATGAATAAGTTGGGAATATAAAGACATTTGATTGATTCTGAAACAATCGGAGAGATTCTTTGGAAACCCTTCCCAAGTAGGTACGTTCCAGGTAACACTAAAAAAAGTGGCATACCCGGGAGAAAAATGGTCCCCAAATTGATAAAAATTTTAACGTGTAAATGTTTATGTTAAAATTAAACAGGGAAGACCAAAGTATTGAGATTTTTTAGTGCTTCCTATAAATTTTAAAAATTTTATTAAAAAATCTCGTTTTTCTTGAATAAAAAAAAAAACTAGTAAATTCGATTTATCGGCCGTTTCTGGCCGAATTTGTAAAAAAAAAAAATCAGTTCAAAAAATTAAAATTCAATTACACCTTTTTTGTTATTTTAGGAAATTTAGAATGATTGAAGTATACTTCATGTAATTTGAAAGAAACATTACTTTTTTAGCAGAATTTTTTAATAGAGATATTTCCAACCATGGTACTCGCGCGGGTGCGTGATTGAAGGGTGTTAATTGATGGGTGTCAATATATTGACAACTTACGTCAAGGGAATTTATCGTACGGTAGCGCAGAAGTGATGTAATTCGTTCTAATTTTTAAGTGAACCTGGTTTGTAAATTTAAAAAAAAAATTCACTTTCAAATCTTTTTAAACTTATATTTGAGGAAAAATTTCTGAAGTAAAAAGAACTTGCTTCTATCAAGAGAAACAAGTCTACCTCATGTGACATTTCAAAGCTGTGCATCCATACTTTCGTTGTAGACGATTTTATATACAATTTTGGAATATTAAAAAATTAAAATCACCGGTTGTCAGATTTTAATAAGCTTTCAAATTTATGATCTTCAAAAAGTAAACAAAATGTCATTTCCATGAGGTTGCATAAAGAAAGTCATTTGTGTATTTAAAAAAAAAAAAAAAAATAAATAAATAAATAGATGATTTAGAATCTTCAGAGTCTTGTGCATTTAATAAAAAAAAATTCCGGTTGCAAAAATAAATTTTTGAAGTTTTCATAAAATTAAGTTTGGGGGGTGTAACATAAAACCTACTGTGCGAGAAGTAAATCAACGAAAGCGGTTATTTTAATCGGAACTAATTTTTTTTCCATTGATACTGATGCATCCAAGAGTGGATAGGTGTTTAAAAACCTATCCACTCGTCAATTACGTAACAAGTGCTGGTAAAGGTGTTGGTTGAGGAGAGATTTGTTCTACGGAGAGGAAAACAGATTAAGAAAATGACGAGTGAGCCCCCTTTTTTTTTATATAACTGTTAAGTACTCGGTAATCTTCCAAATGTTGGAAAATATTATTATCCGTAATATAATTTTTAATGTTGACTTTTTAAATTTACTATAGTCATCGCTCTTATTTTCTGATGTCATTTATGGTCGACCATACTTTCAAAACATCAGCACGTTATAAAAAATATTTTCGAAAACTTGCAGGATAATTTGTAAGGTTTTCAATTTTTGATTAGTAAGTCGAGTTTTCTTCAATTAACAACCGGAATGAAGAATTTTAAGACCTAAATTTAAAAAAATTCTTATAAGAATTCATTTCATCAGCGAAAAATTTTAAGACAATCCTTACTAAGTCTTATCTGTAAAAGAAATCTAAAGCTTTAATTAAATATTGTTGCATTTTTATTTTACGATTCTGAGAAGGAAAGTGGTAGCTTGAACACAATTGATTTATTTTACATTCTCCAAGTAATGTCACCTTTTGCATTTTAACGAAAGAAAAAAAAAAGTAGAGTGTTTAAATGCTAACGGCAAGAATTAAGGATTAAAAGATTAAGGATCATCAGAGTCTACTCTACTTGCACTTTTTTGATAAAGTCAAACTACACAGTGATTTTTAGACAATAGAAGTGTACCCGGCCGCGTGAAATGCTATCTATTCATGGCAATAGTCACGAGGCAGAAGTTTAAGAACTGCTTCCTTTGGTTAGTAGTTAACCTTTGGAATAATAGTACCATCGCAAAGTTAGTATTAAAGCAAAAAAGAAAAAAAGAGAAGCTCGTTTCCAATTAAAATTAAAGTAGATAGTGAATTAATTGTGGTAGCACAACGAACGAGTTTTGGAATACAAACAACATTCGGATCAATCGAGAGGAAAAAATGTTAGTTTTTTTTTCACATTTGTCATATTTTCCCCCAAAAAATACTTGCCTGGGTAAATTTAATCTCCGGGTTCCTAATGGGTTCTGGAACTGCAGTCATAATGTCTGATGTTCACTAACAACCAAAAACGCAAAAGCAGCCGTTGTTAACAGAAACACAAGTGGCGGTAATGAACGGAGCTCACTATTTATACTTGGATTTATTTCAGACCTGCGCACTGAATATGTGAGTGTGATCGCGCACATGAATAGTGAGTGTAGACAAAAACAACATTTAACAAAAAAAGATTTCTATGTTTGGTTTAAAAAAAAACCATTTACACTCGAAAGTAGCAGCAACAAAATATGATGAAACGTTTTAATTTCTATTTGTGAGAACATCAAAACTCAAAAGCTATGAATTTATTTATGTGTGCTAGTAAGTAACATCAAAAAAGAGGATAGCACAAAAAGACATGTTTTAAATTTAAAAAAAAATTCTTGAACAAACCCATGTAATGTACACACTGTGTACAGAGACACCCAGACAAAAACCTGCGCGTAGGCGTAGATACGTCTGTGCACTCACAAATGTAAGTCGCTTCCATATGCAAATTAACGTTTGCTTTCCTTAAGGTTTTTTTTTTTTTTTTTAACAAATAACTTAATAGTGTACACAGTACACTACACTCTACATACATAGGCATAGACGTCTGCTTTTCTGATCTTACTTTTTTTTTATTCGCTCAAACCAAATTCAAACAAACATATTTTTCTTTTTACTTATCTTCTTACCGGAAAAATCAGAGTAGGTACTCAAAGGAGCATGTTTTTTTAGCTAATATATAAAAAAATAAAAATACATTTTATTAATTATGTAGAGTAAAGAAAGAGTTACAAATTTAACAAGGTACCCCCATAAAAAATAATCATAAGTTGCATAAATGTTCAGAAGTGGCAATGACAGCATTATTGTAAAAAAACAACAGTCAATTTGGTTTATGACATTTGAGTGAGATTTGTTTTTAATCGGTAAGCAAGACAGTACAACAGCCACTAACACGCAAGAGGTTTACAGGCTGTGGGGAGGAATTAGGAACAGAAGCATTAGTAATGAGGAGAAAGAGTAAAGAGCAATCAGAGGGGCAGTAGATAACGACTGACATTGCATTTAAATTTTTGCAGATTAAAGTTGGCTGGAAAACATGGAACCGGAAGGGAGTTCCACAAACGAGAAATGCGCGAAAAGAAACTAAAAAGTAAAAAGAAAATAAAAAACTTCACTCAGTCAAGGTAACCCAGGTTGTTATATATATATAGAACTTCTACACGGGTCAACATACCTTCAAAGATTCGCTAAAAATGAGCATACGTGACAAAAAATGCCCAAACTTAAATAAATCAAAGTTTTATTGTTAAAATATGTATGTTATTATTAAAAGAGGAAAGACCAGTATTTTTTGATTTTTAAATTATAAAGTTCAAGAAAACCACCTTTTTAATCAGTGCAAGGATCTCGTTCCCCTACCCCGAATCTATGATACAGGGCTCCCACTTTCAATTTTCATAAGGTATTATTCATATAAAAATACAAATTTTATTGTAACTTACTTAATGATGTACAATAATGGATCATTCAACTAGAAAAATGGAAAATAAATACAATGTATCTCACTAAAAACACATTGAGACATGTTATGCAGGGAAATCTGTCCCGGCTTTCCCACATCAAAAGGTTGAGATTTAAAAATTTGTGACAAAAAAAACGCGTGTAAAAACAGCAAGAAAGCGTACAAACTCTCTCTTTTAGGTGCGGACGAATAAAGAAAAACAAAACTCCCGTTCGGTGTGTAACAATAAAAGAAGAAAGTGTTTATTTACATATACAGAAAAAAAAGGGTAAAGGGATAAAGACAATTAGGAGTGAAAGAAAGGGAGAAGAGAAAATGTTCTTTAAAGGAAGAGAAAATGTTCATAACAGAAAAAAGGCTTGCTCAAAATATTTCTCTGAGCGCCTAAAAAGTTCTTTAAGCGAGTAGAATTTTGTTAAAGTTTAAAAACACTCACAGTTCTTGTAGAGTAGGAAAATTGTTGGTAGATATAGGAATTCTTTAGTTGTGTGAGTTCGTAGGTCGGCGAGAAAGTCTTGTAAGAAGTGTAAGGAAGGCAGCTTTCAATTGGGTTTTTAGTCGTGGGGTTGATGGTCTGTCTTTCCAGCCCAGCAGGAATTTCTTCTTTGGTTGAAAGTGGTTCTGAAGTTGACTGGTGCTTTCTATCGTCGACCTTACAGACGGAGGGCCGAATTCTCACTGCCAAATAGGCGTACATTCTCCAAATTTATGGAGATTTGGGAGGCTCAGTAGGATCAGGAACTTTTCTCTCCAAAATTGTAAAACAAATTTCCTGGCCCCTGGTCAGAAAATATATTCTTATCTCTACTAAGAATCAAGATTTTGGGTGCCGGTTTTGAAAGTTAAAAGAGGTTGGAGTGAGGATAGAAAAAATAGCGAGAATGTGAACTTGTAAAATATTGTTCTCAAATGAAATTCCAACACATAATAGATTATTGTATCTTAAATAAATGAACAATGTTTTGCATTCAACATTATTGATAAAAAAATATTGTTTTATAAAGTGTTTTTCCGAGACAACAAATATATTCACGACTTCATCACAGTCGTATGTTCGAGCACATTAATTTTCAATGGAAATTATTGCTAACCTGGATAACCTTTCATCATTTTTTATTGTAGATGACACATAATGTTTCATCAGTTTAAAGTTTTTGAAGCTTTCGGCACTTTCACCAGTCACTTGTGTAGTATGTTGAAGCGATAAACGCAATGCAATGCACAAGTTCAGGAGCTTGTCTATTGATGATATAGCGGCGTGGGGCTTAGGGGTGAACATGAACAGTTGATTTACCCATGAAGTAGATTTACCATAAGAAGTTCAATGAAAGATGATAACGTATTGTCGTGAAGAGGAAATGGTTATATAACAGATTAAATGATCTGACACAAAATAATATTCAAAAGTGTTTAAGACAAAGGTAGTTAATATAATTGACGTGTATAAGAATTTTCCCTCAGTTTGTCAGTGAAATCTAAGACTATGAAATGAAAATATGATAATTCCAATAGCCAGTCATCTTTTCGTATTACTCTTTGATTTTATAGCATTATATCTCTCCATTCACCCTTTATATATTTATCCTTTCTTTCGCTATCAGCTCATTCTTTTTCTCACTACCATGTAAAAACTAGCACACACACACACATGCATACACACACACACACACACACACACACACACACACACACAGAGAGAGAGAGAGAGTCAAAATCAAAGGACTGGTCCCAAAATCTTAGACAACTTTGGCCCCAAGCTTTTCTAGTTAAACTCAAGAATCCAGATAAATAAAGCTGTTAAAGGGACAAATTTGGAATTCAAAGAAGAGAACTAGTTAACCATAACTGATAAATATTCCAAAACAATTGACCATCTTGTATCGGGTTGCATGGTGTTAGCACCCACTGCATATAAAACTCAGCATGATAGAGTGGGTCAATATCAAAGTAAATAACTAAAAAAACTGGTTAACCAGTTTTTTAGTTATTTACTTTGATTTCTGTTCTATACACATTTCTCATTTCCTTCTGGGTTCCAACATGATCATTTTTGTAAAAAAAAATTAAGATTACACATATTTTATATAGATAAAGCTCTATGTAATGTGAGTAAAATGTTTTGTATTTCTTTTAGGCATAGGTTACCAGAAACTCCTTCAATGAGTCTGTCGGGACCTTTTCCAATCAACTACAACCGAAATTATTGATGTTCACATGTGCCACATTTTTTAGATTTCTACTTCAAGATCCTTGTATTTTGATAGTGTTTTTTAAAGATTTTCAAATATACTTTGCAATCTGCAGTGACTGCCATGTCAATAAGAAAGCACATTTTGTTCTTGTGTTCTTTGATCAACGATGTCTGGGAGATTAGCTTTGATTGTTCTGTCTGTGTGTATTGTAAACTCTCATAAAATTATTACAGGTCCTATCTCCGTAACCGGGGCTGGGTGGTGTTCATACCAATTTCTTGTAGTTTCCCTCCCGTAAAAGTTGCATATTTTCCAGTGCCGATATTGGCCCACTCTATCATGCTGAGTTTTATATGCAGTGGGTGCTAACACCATGCAAACCGATACAAGATGGTCAATTGTTTTGGAATATTTATCAGAGTATCTGCATTTTGTGTTAATTTTTCAGTATATGTGCTTGGTAATTTCTAGTCAGAAAGCATTGGTCCTGTGCAGCAAGAATAAAACAAAGTATTAAAACCGGAAAAATTCAATCAGGACCCAATTCACCAATCGCCGTTATAAAGTGGAAATTTTGGTACCGGATGTTCGGCAATTACTTGGACGTTATTCACACGCTTGGTGTAATGCTGGATAAATTCAGTGTCTTGTTAAGTCACATAAGATCGGACAGTGTATGATTAGATAGAAAGCTGTAATACACACGAAGAAGTCATGCAAACACTAGAAAACATTTATGTTAAACCAACTTACATGTCGTCACCAAAAACCCGGTGAATCAATCGATCAAATCCTACAGGCACTGCAACTACAAACCAGTAATCGCAGAAGCCTACAGAGAATAAGCCATTCGTGATGCATTCATCAACGATCTGGACTCTAATCTTATTTGATAAAGATTCCTAGAGAATAGAACGTTGGACTTGCAGAATGCTTATAGTCGGGCTCGGCCCCTCGACCTTGCACGAAAAATGTTGTTTCATTTATGTAACAGAATTCATCCATACCGACTTTGAATGCAGCTGCCAAAGAATAGAAATCATCTACAGAAGCCACGTTAGCCACAACAAAATCCCAATGCTTGTTTTGTGGTAATCTACATCCTCCACGAAGCAAATGTTCTGCAAGGCAAGTGACCTACCATAAGTGTTCCAAAACCGGACAAGTCCAGTCCTCAGTCGGCTGCAATTGTCGATGCAGTTCACTAAATGTCGATCAATATCAGCCCCACAATTTCAAGTATTTATACTAATGCTACTGAATGTGGCTTTAAAGTATCCACTAATTTGTTCATGAAG